CCAGCAGGGAGGCTGGCCGCACGCCGCTGGACGTGAATGGCCGGCAGTGACCGCACCCCTCAGCCCTTCCCTGTGAGCCTCTAGTTCAGAGTCTTTGGTCCACAGCCGGTGTTTCCTCCCTCTTAGACCCGCGGCTCTGGGGCGCACACAACCGCACACCAAATGGCGTCGGGTCTCAGGGCCAGGCTTGGCGGGAGTGGAATCCCTCGGTTTGCGCTTGCTCCGCGGTGGGCTGGATGGGCAGGTAGGGGCGGGCTCCGGCGCTGGGACCCCGCTCGGGTGGCGCCTTGGCCCCGCCCCGCCCCGCCCACCCTCCGCCTCATTGGCAGCGGCACGCGCGTCGGGGTTGCCAGGGCGACGGGTCGCTAAGCTGCGAGTCAGCGCAAACCCCATTCAGTCGGCCTCCGGCGGAGGCAGCGGGGGAGGCCCGAGGGCGGGCGGCGGAGCGCGGCACTCGGCGGCGGAGCCCCAAGCGGGCGCCTCCTCCCGGCCCGGCACGGCCCCCCTCCCGGCGCAGGGGCAGGCCGGGGCGGGGGGCCCGGGGGCCGGCGCGGCTCCGGCCCCGTCGGGGCGGCCGTGGGGCGGCCGGGGCGGGGCGATGCCGGGCGGTGGCGGTGGCGGTGTTGGCGGCCCCGGTCGGGGCCCGTGACCATGGGCATCGCCGAGTCCACGCCGGATGAGCTGCCGTCGGACGCGGAGGAGCAGTTGCGCAGCGGCGAGCAGCAGCTGGAGCTGAGCGGGCGGCGGCTGCGGCGGCTGCCCAGCGCCGTGTGCGCGCTGAGCCGCCTGCAGAAGCTGTATGTGAGCGGCACAGGACTGCGCGAGCTGCCCGAGGAGATCGAGGAACTGCGCGAGCTTCGCATTCTGGCGCTGGACTTCAACAAACTCGAGCGCCTGCCTGACGGCCTGTGCCGCCTGCCGCACCTCACGCGCCTCTACCTGGGCGGCAACCGGCTGCTGGCGCTGCCCGCGGACTTCGCGCAGCTGCAGAGCCTGCGCTGCCTCTGGATCGAGGGCAACTTCTTGCGGCGCTTCCCGCGGCCGCTGCTGCGCCTGGTGGCGCTGCAGTCGCTCCAGATGGGGGACAACCGGCTGCGCGCGCTGCCGGCGGAGCTGCCGCGCATGACGGGCTTGCGTGGCCTCTGGCTCTACGGCAACCGCTTCGAGGAGTTCCCGCCCGCGCTGCTGCGCATGGGCCGCCTGCACATCCTCGACCTCGACCGCAACCGCCTGGGCGGCTTCCCCGACCTGCATCCGCTACGCGCGCTGCGCGTCTTCTCCTACGACCACAACCCGGTCACCGGGCCCCCGCGCGTCGCGGACACCGTGTTCCTCGTGGGCGAGGGCGCCGTCGAGCGCATGGCGGAGCGCGACGAGCCCACGCCCCGGCCTCCGCCCCGGCGCCCAGCACGCGCCTTTGAGGATGAGGAGGAGGAAGACCTGCTCATAGGCGGCGCTGGCTCCCGGACTCTGGGCGCCCCCGGGGACAGCCTTCGCGCCCTGGAAGCCGCTCCAGGACTGGGCACTTGAGCCTCTGTTTGGGCTGATGGGCGTCGGCCACTCTGAGAGAGGGGGCTCTGGGAAGCTTTGGCTGCGTTAGCCTGCGGGATCGGTGGGCCCCTACTTGGGGCAATGGAGGGGCCACTTTTGGCGAGCTGCCGGGCACTGGCAGGCCCGGGGCTCATCTTCAGATACTCCTAGGTAGTAAGAGGACTGACGGCCCCCTGGCTGATCTGTGGGCAATTGTCAGACCAAGAAGTCTGGGCTGGGTCCAGTCCCCGATGGAGCCACTGATAACACAGGAGCCAGCTTCCTCCTGGAACCAGGGTCATTGAGGACCACAGAATCTTCACGTCTTGCTGAGTCTGGATGCAGGGCGCCCACCACCCTCCCACCTTCTGGGGTTTGGATCTCCTGGGCCCACCCTTTCTAGGGCAGGAGCCGCCGCCTCTGGGGTGGACTGCCCTTGGGAAGAAGGCCTGGCCCGGGGTCAGGGTCTTGGTGCCCAGGACAGAAGTGGGAAACAGATGGGGGCCCCAACACCGAAGCTGCCCTCACCCCTCCACCAGGGCTGATCGTACATACCTCCCTCCCCGGCCCCCTGAGATTTGTACAGGGCACAGAAGGCAAGGGGTCACCTCCACCCTGTATTCTGTTCTCTTCTCTAAGCATGTGCCTGGAATCTTGCTGGGAAAAAGAGCACCCCCCTCCCCCTCCCCATAGCCTGAGCCTTCCAGCTGTCAAATTTGAAAAGAAGCCACCGTGCCTCCAGGGCCTCCTGCACCGCAGAGAGGGGCTCTCTGCTCTGGGAGGCAGCTCAGCACCTCTCCCACGGCCTGCACTCTCCTTTCCCTTAAATGGGCACGGCCAGGGTGGCTGGCACGGGACTGGCACTCTGTACCTCCACTCCGTCACCAGGGACAGCCCCGAGGGGGTGAGGAGAGGGGCCTCGCTTTGCAATCCCCAGAGCCAGATCTTCCTCATCCAAGCAATAACGGGAAGAGGGGGCCAGGGCCAAGGACACTCAGGGACACTGTTGGGGCAGGGGCCCCACATGGTAATGTTTTCTTTAGGGAGAAGAAAAAATTAACTGGCTGTAAACATAAATTCTATTTCTTGGAGAAGGAATGTGTGTTTCCCACGTGCTTGTTTATTTATAAGCCCTGGGAGAACCGGAACCCACTGCTATGGGGACCCTGGGCTCCCTCTGGCACTGCCCCCGCCCATGCGCCCCCCTCTCTGTGTCAGACCAGCCCTGCTGTTGTGTGCTGTCTTTCTGGGAACAAGTGCTGTCGTCAGGGGTGGCTTTTGCCCCTCGGGGCTCCTCTCCTATCTCACAGCTTGGTTCTGCAGAAGATTCTGTATATTTTTGAATCACCCTCAAGCTGGCTGAACTTTCCCTCGTCTTTCACTGGCACTGCCCCTCCTCTCCCTCCATGACTCTAGACTTGCCTCCCTCTGTCTCTCTCGCTCCATTTTTCTCTTTCTCTCTCCTTTTTAGCCTCTTTGCTCGGTTTTGGCATTTCTTTCCCCCCTTGTTGTTCAGGAAAATAATAAATAACGATTTAAAGAAAGGAAGAAAATTGTAAAACCTCAAGCATGGAGGCCCATCTCCCCTGAGAAGATCCTGCCAGGCCTCTGTCACCATGGCAACAGGGGCTGATGTCATACCAGGCCAAAAGGTCAGGCCCTGCCCAGCAGTTCTGCTGGCACACGGGGCTAGGCCCCGGCTAAGGAGGAGGCTGGGCATGGATCTGGGCAGTCAGCTTGCAAACGAGAGTGAAGGCCTTGAATGGACAGAAGGAGGTGGTGGGTGGGGAAGATCGGTGGCTGCCTCCTTCCCAAGGAGGAAGAGGGTCTGGGGCCTGGCTGCTGAAGACCTTGTCTCTCCCAGAGTTCCCCCTGTTGGGGGCCCTCCAGGGGTCTGGAAAGTTGGAGAAAGTCATTTGAGAGATGATCACTCAGGTGGGAGCTGCAGCTGACTGGGGACTGTCTTCTTGGCCTGCCACTTATATCACGGCATAGGGAAAATACCCCTAGACCTAGAATCAGAAGGCAGGTCTTCCAGGCCTAGTTCTGCTATTGACCAAGTGATCTTGAGCAAGTCATGACCCCCCTGGGCCTTAGCTTCTTCATCTATACACAAGGAATTGTGTTTATTCATTTATTTATATTTCATTTTTTTTCTGAGACGAGTCTCGCTCTATTGCCTAGGCTGGAGTGCAGTGGCTCGATCTTGGCTCACTGCAACCTTTGCCTCCCGGGTTCAAGTGATTCTCCTGCCTTAGCCTCCTGGGTAGCTGGGATTATAGGCACGCACCGCCATGTCCGGTTAATTTTTGTATTTTTTGTAGAGATGGGGTTTCATCACGTTGGCTAGGCTGGTCTCGAACTCCTGACCTCAGGTGATCTGCCTCCCTCAGCCTCCTAAAGTGCTGGGATTACAGGCGCCTGCCACTGCACCCAGCTAATTTTTGTACTTTTTCATAGAGACGGGGTTTCACCATCTTGGTCAGGTTGGTCTCGAACTCCTGACCTTGTGATCCACCCGCCTTGGCTCCCAAAGTGCTGAGATTAGCTGAGATTACAGGTGTGAGCTACCCGCCCTGCCCTTTTCATGTAAACCTTAGACACAGGAGAAGCAGCATGCAGATGTAGCCATGGTCACCTGCAGTAACTGCTGGCATTAGTGAGCTTAGGTCTCCTCCCTCTGTCTGGTCTGTTTCCCTATACCCCCTCCCCTGCTGCTCTCACCTGAGGACTCTAGGTTGGAGCAAAGGCTTGGCAATGAGTCCCCTAGGCCACCCTGAGGCACTCAGGGTCCTACCTTTCTGCTTTGTCAAACATGGCACCCGCAGCCACGACTGCTTGCCAGCTGAGCGGGAGCTTCCCCGGGGAATGGGGGTGGGCTCTGTCCCTGGCTCTGCTACTCACGTGCTCTCCCTCAGAAGTCCGTCCCTTCTGGAAAGTTCAAGTTTGGTTAAATTGGGTGCTGATGCTATAGAGCACAATTGAGGCTCTGTCTGCATGTGAGTAGGGAGAGACCTACTGCCAAGGACAGCTGGGTGTCATGGCTCCCCTTGAAGTCAGAAAGGGCACTGTATTAGGAGTCCTAGCATTACCCCACCCACAACTTCCTGTGATTCCCACTTGGCCTCTGGGGAGCAGGGGACGGGGGAGACTAGAAGGGATGCTTGTAACAATGGGATGGGATGGATGGGCCGCCCCTGTAGTTCCCCGAATCATACTGGGGCAGTCAGGGGTGGGCAGGCCACGGGGGAGTAGGGCAGGGAAACTCCTGAAGAGTCATGTTTGTACCAGGGATTCAGGGGCAGAGGCCAAGGGAGCTCGTGGTCAGAGCAGGAAGCCTCCTTCCTACTGTGGGAACCAAGCAGAGGGAAAGGCAGAGGAGGCGGCAGGGAGGGCGAGTGACTCACCCACCGGCGTGAGGACTCCCAACCCAGTGCTCACTGAGTCACAGAAGAGGTGCTCGTCCCTAGCTGGCAGTCAGGTCTGTGAGTGGAATGACTGAGAACTACGGCCTGTTCTTGAGGCCCCCGCCCCAACCCGCTTCCAGACAAGCAGCCCTGATGGCCAGCGTGGCAGCGGAGACGCAGGGCTGGAGCCTTCACCCTTGTTAATGACATAACCCGTCCCCTTCCCACCCGCCCTCAGGGACACAGGAAAAGGGGAAACAGGTTCTTGGAGCTGGGGGCCCTGCCCAGAAGTCCCTCCCTGCCTCCAGTGCCACCACCTGGGCTTACTCAGACATCCATCCCAAAGCTTCCTCAAGACACCTGGTGCTCTTGTTCTGAAGATGAATGTTTATTAGCACACCTGGGTGTGCCACACAGAACACGTATGCAGACAAGGATCCCTGCCCAGGGGGCTCACAATCTAAACGAGACACGACATACACACGCAGGACACAGACAAGGGGAGCAGGGCAACTTCCGGGAAAACGGATGGTCAGGGGAGCCACGCGCAGGGGCATCGGCATGTTCAAGCCTTGTCCTTCTGGTTGTCTTTGTATGGGAGGGAGAGGAGAACAGGATGTGGCCCAGGACGGCCTTCCAGAAAGCAGCAGGATCCAGGGGACACTTGCAGGAGAAAGAAAACACCAGGGGGTGGTGGTCCCTGGTACAGGGAGGGGTGGGGAGCATCTCAGAGCAGGCATGGATGAAGACAGACCCAGAGAAAAAACGGAGGAAGTCCAAAAGTCCAGGGAAGGGCCCGAGCCAGCGGCAAGGCGCTGCCGCCTGTGCCAGGCCTGAGCTGTCTCACTTCAGGCTCAGTTTTCCGGGGCTGCTTTCATAGAGAAAGCTCTGACCAAGGGTGCTCCTGGGGCTACTTACCTGACCCCAGGGCTTCCTCTGATCTCTAGAACAGAGATCAGAAGGGACATCTAAACCAGGTTGTGAGAAGCAGGGACAGACAGCTCTGCGGGGGTGGGGGGGTACTTAGTGTAATTCCGGGAGGCAGCTGCTGGCCCCAGGTGCTGGGAACAGGGGCCCCCACTTCACTCCAGGTGGGAGCAGGGGCCAGCAGATGGACACATGACTGCGGGGATGGGCTCCTTCCTTTTGTGCCTGTGTCTGAAACAGATGTAGCACCTTCCTTCTGAAGTACCCTGAGAGCTGCTGGGCCTCAGTTTCCCCTGGGCTGGGTGGGGAAGAAAGGACAGGGAAGGGGATGGTTATTGCTTTGTTGTGGCTGGAGGAAGCAGGTGGCAGGAAGGAAATAGTGTGCCCAGAGCCGCAGAGGCTGGAGAAGGGAGGGATTAGAACTCAGCTTCCCACATCCCAGGCTGGAACCTGTTCCACTGAGTCAAAGAGACTTTTCTAATCTTAAAGAACAAAACTAGAAGAGGGCTGAGAGAAGCCACAGGTCCAGCCAACAAACACAGAGCGCCTCATCTTTCCTTTCCCCACCTTGGGGACCAGGGAGGAGGCGCTGGCCTGAAACTACAGGGGCCCCGTGGGTGGTGGCGGGAAAGCTGGAGTGTCCCCCTTGGGTTTGTCTGAGCTGCCTTGGAGGGTGGTGAGGGTCCCCCGGGGACTGAGGGAGGGGACGCCAGGCTGGATGACCCTGGAGGGCACCCCCGAGGTCTAGAGGAGACTCCACTCCCACAAAGCTTTGTGTCAGGACTGATCTGGGAAATGCAGCTGCCTCTGCTTTCTGGGCAGTCGGTGGGATCAAAGAGATCTGAGGATGGGCTGGACGCTCAGGACAGGCCTGGTCACCAGTGAAGTAAATCCCAAAGGTGACTCGCTGAGGGGAGGCTCAGCCCCGGGACCCCCATCCCCTTCACCCCGCTGCCTCTGCCCCCAGGGAGGTGAGGGAGGGCTGGGACCCACAGAGGAAACAGCCAAGGCCCTACTGTTCCATGATCCTTTATTAATCAGAACAGGCCTCACCACAAAAAGCGGGGCCCATTCCCACAAAAATAGGATTTTGCAAAGAGGGAATTTTGCTGGCTTAGAGGGCATGTGTGGTGGAAACATTTTGTACGGTTCTTTTTTTCCTTTTTTTTTTTTTTTCTTCAGTTTTTCTTCATTTCTCTTGGCTGCAAAAAAATTTTTTTTTTGTGATGGTGGGTTTTTGTTTTATTTTTTATAAAACACTTGCACTCAAGGACTCAAACACGATACAAACAGCGCCACCGATTCCCACCCCCGGGGCACTCGGTGGTTGGAGTGCCCCTTGGCTTGTTTGTGGCTGTTTTCCTCTGTACCTTCCCTGGCATCTGGTGCCGGAGGGCAGGTGTGGGGGTCCCGGGGCAGGTGGGATTTGTACAGCAGTTACGTGGGGAGATGATCACAAGAAAGGAAACCAGAACAAGGTAAGGACTAAGTCTAGGGCGCCCACGAAGATGGCAGATGAGGCCCACGAAGGGGCCTGCGACACAGTGAAGAGACGGGGCCTGGGTTGGCCTCAGCTAGCTCTGGAGGCTCTGTGGGGGAGGGGCAGGCGGGTCTTGCTATCAGGATTCAGAAATCGCTTTGCTCCGGGGTAGCACCTTCAGAGTCCTCCTGCCTTGACCCCCACGTCAGGTGATGGCGGCCTCACAACCTCCCCTATGAGGTAGGTGAAGTATTATTACCATCATTTTACAGATGGGGAAACTGAGGCCCAGGGAGTACAGGTAATTTGCCCAAAGTCCTGGGATGGTGGCAGGGCTCAGTGCCCTCTTCCCACCCTCAAGTTCCCCCATTCCCTGCTTTCCTATCTCCCTAGACCACCCCCTGCCCTGTCCCATACCACCCTTGCCTCCTGTGCTAGCCTACCTGGCCCTCAGCCCTCCGTTTGCCACCCCCCAGCACAGCATCCCAGAGCTCCACCTGCACATGGGGGGCTGGGGAAGCCTTGTCACCAATGTGCCTGGGTGGGGTCTGAGTGGGAAGAGACCCTCACCAGGAGATGCTCTCTGCATAGGATTGGCTAAGAGCTCTGTGAGCGGGGCTCAGGAAAAGGGGCAGCCATTGCCCTGCCCACTTGATGCAAGTTGGTTGGATGCGGGGGGCTCCCTGGCTGGCGAAGAGGCCTGGGAGGTGGGGGCTCGCTCACTCGGCGGTCTTCCTAGGGGCAGGTGGGTGGTGGGGGGACAGGAAACCGAGGGGGGTCCAAGGGAGAGGTGGAGAGAGGCAGACTTCCCACCGCACCCTCTCCCATATCTACGTGGCCTTTGCCCTCCTGTCCCAGCTGGGGCTGTCCCCAGCCCGCCAAAGAGGACGATGCAGTTGGGGCCGACTCCATTTTAAGCAAATCTACAATATAGAAACATTTGGATTTACAAGGAACGTGGGTGACTATTTGCTTTACATTGGCATTCTTCACTCTACAAAACGATTCACCTACTATGTATGATGCTCCTCCAGATCCCAGGGAGAGGGAATGGGGGTGGGGGTGTGAGATTCAATTTAAGAAAATTTTGATATGGGCAAAAGGCCACCCATCTACTGCATCGAGCAGAATGCTCAGCTCAAGGGGAAGCCGATCGAAGGAAAATGTTTCCCAAATGCCTATGGTCTCCCCGCACTCTGGATGTGGGGACCCTATCTAGAGTCCTCGTCTCCTTGGGGTGTCCCAGGCCCATCCAGGGTGGAACTGTGGGCCAAGATCACGGCCACAGACTGTGGGGACCTGGCGCCACCTGGCGGTGATTCTGGGAATGTCAGGCCCAGGCTCGTGGACCCCCAGGATCGGAGGCTTTGTCACCAGCTGGGTCTTGTATCAATACTAGTACCAGCGTGGGGATGAGAGGGCTTAAGCAGGGATCAGCCTGAAATCTGCCGTCTCCAAGGGGAAGCCAGTTCTGGTCTTATCAGTGGCTGAGGCAGAGAAACCACGGCTTCTTTGTGTGTGGCAATCTCAGAACTCACAGAATCCCAGTGTTTTCCCCGCCTCCTTTCCCCACACTGTGAGTTGGGCAGAAGGAGCTGTTCCCGGGCACCAGGGAGTAGGGAAGGGTGAGAAGAGAGTCCTGGAGAAAGTCAGGTGGTGGAAGATCAGAGACCACTCACGATGAGAGGGAATGAATAGAAGGTCTACAAGCACTGGGGGATGGAGGGGTAGAGGTCTGCACAGGCAGGGAGACATGAGGAAGGCAGGGCAGCTGGAGAACATGGAGAACAGGGCCAATGTGGCTGCTGTGTGAGGTGTGGGAAGCTTGCGGGGGTCTTTGGATGAAGGAATTCGGGCAAAGCTAGTGGGGGCTCGGGACCCCTTGAGAAGGAAGGAAGGTGAGCCCTAGTGGGATGCTATGCACACAGTAGGTGCCTAAAAGGTGTGAGCCAGTGTTCAAGGGATGAAATTGCTGAAGGAGGAACTATTGAGATTCTGAGCGGAGTTGGGCACTGAGGGAAGAAGGGGAGGAGAGGGGGTGTCAGGAGGCAGCCCAGTTCTCAGCTCAGCTCCAGCCCCTCTTCTGTTCCCGACCTCTGCCCCACCCCACCCCACTCAGCCCTATGGGCCTCTCCTCTCCTGCCCCCTGCCTCCAGCCCTGCCTGGCCTTCATGAAACCTGCCTTCTTTGCCTAGTCTTCTGCACTGTCAGGCCTCTGTCCCCACGCACACACACAATGGACACAACACAAGTACAAAGGGCCATGGCTCCAGGACCCAGGAGAGGGCTCTACACTATCCTTGGCACTCAGGGCCCAGCCGGCACCTGAAGCTGCCCTGGGGATGGGCCTCTCCTGGACAGACCAGGGCCAAATGCCTCAGCCTCCCCTCCCCTGGGTCCACGTTGGGGGCTGGAGAGGGGACAGCCTCTCTCCACTCCAGGCACTGCCTTAAAGAAAACGGGGAACCATGCCCACCTGGCTGGCCTCTGGAGGGGTCTGCCTGTCTGGCCATCTGGCTCTCGAGCTCCCCCGACTTCTTTAGTATCAGCAAGTCAGGAAGAAAAGGGGCAAAGCAGGAAAATGCCTCCCAGAGTCCCTTCCCCCAAGCTGGACTGTGGGGGACGGGGCTGATACTTCTTAGAAACGGAGCCCAGTTGAGTCTGGGACCCCTCCCTGGCTGAGCCCTCAGGGTCCTCCCCTCCCTATGGCAGGGGGCTCAGGCCGGGCATTGTGCATAAAGTGGTGAGGGCATGATGGGGACCTAGGCCTTTGGCCCCCTGGGCCTCCCTTGGCCCCACTCAGGCCTTCAGCTGGTGCCACTGGGCCACAGGCTGCCGGGGACGGGCGATCATGTCTTTCCAGTGCTTCACCTCCCCTGGCCCGCTCTTCCAGGACAGGTAGATCTGGGGAGAAAGGGGAGAGGATGGCATTGGCACAGTCTCCAGGGCATTGGCCCTTTCCCCCACAGGGGTGACAGACCAACTCCACCATGATGCCCTAGCCTGTGGCCCCCCGACCTCCACATGCTGTGCCAACCTACCCCACAGAGGCGCCCTCCTCCCTCCCTCTGCCAGCCTGACCTGTTTTCCTGGTTGTCTGCCCCCTTCAGAATTAGACTGCCAACCTATTTTGCAGTGGGGTCTGGAAGGTGGGGTTGGACGCAGCCTGTCTCCATGGCCTTCCCTGCCCTATCTGCTGGGTGCTGTCCAGCCCACTTTAATTATAATCACTCCCAACTCCTGGGCACTTGCCACTGTGAGTACTGAGCCAGGGACTTCAGACACATGGATCATCAAATCCTACAACTTTGAGGTAGGATTTTATGATTAACTCTGTTTTTCAGATGGGGAAACTA